GGTTTTTTTTGGGCTTTTTTAAAGATCGACAACAAGGAAAGTTTTTATTTTTTTGGGGGGGAAGAAGTAACCACCCCCCCCCCCCCCCCCCCCCCCCCACCGGGTTGAGTTATCACTGGCTTCAAATATCTTTTCTTGAACGCTTGAGAAGAGTATACAAAAATATTTATGAAAACCAAATACCCTTTCATAAACTCTTATAAAAGTGTTTATGAAACGTGTGGCGTACGGAAAAAGGGTTTATTATTCTCTGTTCTTTTTACAGTGTGTCCAGTATAGTAATGACAGCGACAAAGGCCGACCCGAAATTCATTTATATTCCGGCCAATGATCTTGTGATGGATAAGTGTATTGGCAGTGGTGGCTTTGGCGATGTTTATCGTGGAACTTGGGTGAGTCGTCATTTTCAGGTGGCAATAAAGGTGTTTCGTGTGAGCGCACTCGAAATCGAGCAAAAAAAACAAGAAATCATGCGAGAACTATTAGCAATGCATTGTATTCGATTCGATCATGTGTTAAATGTGTTCGGTGCTTGTTGGGAACCCAACTTTCACGCACTTGTCGTTGAATACATGGCTCTTGGCTCTGTTTATGACATTCTTCAAAATGATGATATTCAATTGTCCTGGTTCGATCGATGGTCGATCATCAATCAAATGACCAAAGGTATTAACCATTTGCATCAACTCGAACCTATTCCAATTATTCATCGCGACATTAAATCCCTCAATTTCTTGATGAACTGGGGCCAACAGAACGATAGTAATCGATTCATTGTCAAAGTAGGAGATTTCGGCCTGGCCAAGTTTCGGTCGGAGACAGCTTCTCAGTCGATGAATGATAGCGTGGTTGGAACACTACCTTGGATGGCACCAGAACTCTTCGACTCTGAAAAAAAACATACAAAGGCGAGCGACGTGTATGCGCTAGGCGTGTGCTTTTGGGAAGTTGCAACACGATGTATTCCATACCGAGGAATGAACTTGCCGAGCGCTTTACTGAGAGTCCATCTTGGACAACGATTAGAGGTACCATCGGGTGTACCAGAAGATTTTGAAGCCGTTATTCAAACTTCATGGGCTCATGATCCTAAAGAACGGCCCACGTGCCGCTCATTGCTTGAAAAGATCGAAACTGGTATGATGGCTGTATCATCTTCGAAATTAGGGTAGGTTTTATCACCCAAGGAACATGCTTATATGTTTCTCGACCATAGAACGATCGTTCATAACACTGCTGACTACATGCTACCATATCCCAGGAGCAATTCAAGATACTCGACCACATTTAGGTACGAATATTGTTGATACACATTGCAAGATCCGTATCGTAGGAATATTTTCACAATCTGTGAGAGCTTGTGTGATGAAGGTTTTTCCACTCTCATTCGAGATGAGATATAAAGTTGTTTTTTCTTGAACATCTTGCTATTTTAGTGTTTATGCTTGGGTAAGTGCAATATTATATACTCCCTTTTTTCCAATTGGTTCGCTAGATTTATATTTCTTGTAGTGATCCACCATCGACATACAGATAGCTAAACGTTAAGAAGTAGGGATGTCACTTTTGTGTCTCGTTTCCAGGAACGGGATTTGCTTTCCCGTTCCTTGAAAACGGAACGTTGACACTCTTGGGTCACCGATATCATGAAAAAATTCTTTCTCTTTTTCAGCAGTCAAAACGATATGTGGTTGTAGTCTCAGGTGCATCAGTTACGAATATCACAATGAGAGCTTTCAAAACTCTTTTGTTTCAGATATAGTCCTAGCTACTCTGTGAAACTCCATTTTTTATTTTTGGAGTCCTCATATAATTACTCTTCATTAAAATTTAGTAGAAAATTGTTGTTCTTACCCAAAGTTTTTACTTCTCTACAAATCCGAACTTTTCATACGGAAAAAAACTGCCATCTTTGGAAAAGAAACGACGATTCCAGGAGAGAAATTTACACTTTTTAAATACATAGACTTTTGTCCTGATAAATTTTTATGAAATCAGTCTTATCTCAACGGCAAAGTCGGACCATAAGGCTGACATTTCAATATCTATCTATTGGCAACGTAAGATCTCAATAGAATTGGAGCAACAGGGTTAAAAATGTAAAAATATGGACGAATTAGCCTTTTTCCCTTATATTTTCCTACATATGTTTGGTGCTCAACAATAAGTCAGGTTTACTTCAACGAGAAATGTGAACCATATGTCTAAGTTTTCAAGATCTGCCACTTCGCAGTCTCAACACAGAGAAAATTAGTTACAGAACTGTGAGAAGTTTCAAATATAGTCAAATTTGAGCCATTTCTGTTGTGCATGACTGTAATGGTACTGTTCTCGGCATGTAGGCAGTCTTATTTCAACACCATACTTCATCTAGAATGGTAACTGTTTAATTTTTCTCGATTGGTAGTCGGCGAGGCAAAGAAAAAGGGTGCAGCTAGATCTGAAGTCTGAAAAACGAAAAATTCTTGTCAGTTTTCATTATATCTACTTATTCTTCTGTGATTTGAGCATAAAAGCAAATGTGCTAGGGCTTCGAATTCCTACTATGCTGACTTTCGTGTGATGTTCTGTCACTGGGGACAGTGGCGTAGCCAGGATTTTTAGACTAGTGGGCAAATCTCTTTTGAGCTAGAAAAACATGATGGGCGAAATGGGCAAGGTTTTCATTGATGGGCCAAAAGTTTTTTGACCTAACCAAGTACTGATGACGTAAAAAAAAACACAAAAAAATGATACGAGGTTGTTGTAATGAAATTTCCATAAAAGTCAGATCTTAAGCCTCCCCCACCCTCCCGAAAAAAGTCAGTTTTCGTCAAAAACATGAAAATTGAGATAAGTGTGTGAGAAGATAGTCGGAAGTCTGCCATTTCAAAAGAGATATAGCCTTTTATTTCGTACATCGTTTTAGCAAAAATTTTTGATGTCTTCCTCACTACCTACTTGAAAAATAAGCTGGTTTTGGGTAAAATCGAAAAAGCTTTTTCGTTTTTTCACTGTTCATGATTTGTCGAACGCTCAAACCAAACTTCTCCACCCAGACTAATTATATAGGATGGTCCAAAAGTAATCGAGCAGTCTTTGATTGCGAATCACTTTTGATAGAAATAAGATAGAGAGTTGCAGTTTTCATCGTTTAAAAGAGAAAAAGACTGCATCGAATCTTGAACACCAGATTTTTATGACAATATTCACTCGGAGTCTCCAGAAAGTTTTTGTAATAGAAATTATTGTGTAATGTGAAAGTTTTAGAATTTTAATTTTCAGTAGTGCATCAGCATCGTTAACTAAAGTTCAATAGTCTGTGTAGGTTCAAAGCCAAAAAGATTTAGCAAATCATTAGTTCTTAACATTTTACTACGCA